AACAACTAGCTCAATCTCTGCAGGAGGCTCAGGTTCAGTCTCATGATCTTCATCAACATCATCATCACCGTCAAAAAGACCTTCATCCTCACTTTCACTTTCCTGAATGCCATAATGGATTTGACATAAAATCCATAATGTAAGTCATGCCATTTCATTAAATTTACAGCATTCATAAACTCTTCTCTTAGGTGTGAATGTGTATTCATCTCAAGCAGAGGAACACTAAAACCTAATTAAAAAGAGCTACATCAACAACTTAAACACATAGAAGAGCAAACAAGTGACAATCAACCACTCCCCTCAATAAGAAAAGAAATGGAGAAAGGACACCCTTTACAAATGAAGGTTCTTGTCCTAAAATGAAAATAATAAAATTTCTTAACTATTTCATAGCTGCATAGGCTGTTTTTCCTCCTGGATAGTTCTATATGTTCCAGAAGTTACTAGCAACATCCTCGTTGCAAAATAACAAAAATAATTACTAAAAACTGAGATAAAAATAGTTCAAGATGTTGCTTTTCTTTCCATTCCTAGCTAAGTACAACTTCCCAAAACATGACAGTTTCTTGGAGCTAGGTAGATAACCAATCAGTCTTTTGCATGGCCCAGTATTAAGAGACCGTTTCCATAGTTACTTGAGAGTGTACTAAGAGGAATTTCTAGTAACAGATCATTTATTTAAAGCTAAAATGACATATGAGTAATCTTCGCAACATGGTCAAAGCTTCAAAAATCATCAATTAAAAGTAACATTAATTTTAAGAAACAAAGATGAAGTTAACCTCTCAGGAACGGGAAGAATAAATGACTAAATGACACAATCTTCTCCAATACGCTTCACCATTAATAGGGGCAAATCATGCATGATCTAGTGAACTTAACAAGCTAGACGACAATAAAACATGAAGATCCTCTAAATCAGTCAACATAACAGCAGGTTACTTGTTTGGTGCTTAAAGTCCAAGGTGAATACAGTTATTTTAACCAGACTTAGCAGCATTTCACAGAGAAGGATTACATGCAAACCAGTCATAGTAACCCATACCAAAATGCAGGACACATATACATGCAACCTTCGTCGATTTAAGATAATAATAACCTATAACTGAATGATCAAATGAAATAATAAAGCAGACTAACAGACAGTCTTAGATTTCAAACAACAAACATACAACTAGCCAAAGCAGATATTATCACTGCCACTTTATTATACTCATTAAAATCTTTTTTTTTTTTTTTACGAGAACCCACTAAACTCTTTATTTGCAGGAAGAATGAAACAATCAAAATTTTATCTTTCTTTGTAACAGAAAATATGATACTATAAGCGTGTAGAACTAATAACATATTCAATAGCAGAAGAGAATTTTCAGCTTATAACCATACCATTAAATCTCGATGAAGAAAATGCTACGAATAGCCCATTATAAATTGAAGCAAAAACAATAAGCTAGTCTCGTATTTTTCATAAAAGCCATCCTCTTAGCCAAAGTACCATTAATGAACATGTACAACACTCATCTTACGCCAACATTCATCTATTCCCAAATTTAGTGCCCTAAATTTCACTAAACAGGAAAACAAAAATTACAAAGCAGCATCTAGGACCTCACCAGAATCACCATATCCCACCGTGGCTCGCATAAACCGTATCACAAAAATATTTACACTAACAACAATAAGATAAGCAGTGAATAAACAATAAGTTAACAGACTGTATTACCTCCACTGCGGTCTCAGTCTCTTTCGGGGACTTAGAATCCGCGGGGCCCCATGCGGACGAAGGAGGTGCAGTAGTGGCATAGAAGTCGTCGTCATCATCGTCTACGTCGGCCCAGGACTCGACTTTAAGTGGCGCAGGGGTCCAGTAGACCTCCTTCTCGGGCTCCTTCACGGTCTTTTTGACGCTGGAGCTTTTGCTCTTGGAGGACCCTTGCTCTTTGTTCTTCTTCTTCTTCAAACTCCCAAGCGCCGCAAACACATTAGTGCTGTTTATCACCAGCGACTCGTCTCTCCGGCTTCCTCCTCCCACCATATCTTCTCACCGCCCAGTATACTCTCTTCCTGTTAACCAAACACCAGCCTCAAAGCAGCAAAAAACTAACGAAATAAAAAAAGGAACCAGAAAAAATAAACAAACAATCTCTTCAGTATGGATATAATAGGATTTTATTTGTCTTCGACAAAAGAAAATCCGATTAACGAAAATCTGATATAATTTGATTAACCAGACAAAACTCGGAAGCGAGATGAGCGAAAATGATATTTTATCCGAAAAGAAAAATTAGAAAATCCGATCGAGAGATTAGGGTTTGAAGGTATAGAAAGATCGGATTTGTACATACAAGAAAAATGAGACGATAAATAGGGTTTTAATAATGCTCAGAGCAAAATCTGAATCGGAGGGATAGGAGATGGGGTTTGCGACGAGGCAAAACGAAGTCGTTTTGTTTCAGGATTGAAGAGCAGAGAAAAGCAACTGAGCTTACGGGAGGTTTCAGTGCGGTAGCTTTTGCATAAGGGATTGACAAAACTCATTTATGTTTGTGTCTGCTTTCTTTCAATGGCCGTTTTCTTTTTTGTTTGTTGCGTTTTGATGTGTGTTCTGCGTGGCTTCTGGGGTGGAGTTAGACCGGGCGTTTAGGGATGTCAGAGTGCCAACCAAATGGTAACTGGTAACTTACTGAGGTGCTCCACCCGGTAATTTCTGGAAGAGGTAATGACCCGATTATGTTAAATTATTCAAATATATAAAATTTTTAACATATTTTTGGACCGACCTATAAAAATAAATATTTTTTTAGTCAAGTCAACGATACTGGACTTTGTTTTTTAATCTATTTAATATGGTAAAGATACAAATAAATTATTTTAAAAATAAATCGAAAATATTTTTAAATTGGATAGATCATATATAAATATAACATGATTGATTATATATATAAATCCATTCATAATCTCATTTTATCATATTTAAAAATCAATTATTCACAAACTGATTTAATTTTATACTCTATATTAACTTTTTGTGAATTTATGGAGAAACTTCTCACTTTTTGGTGATATAAATAGTAAAAATTTAATAAACATAACAATTAAATAGAATAATTCAGTAATTATACTAATAATATTTTGATCATTTAATGAAGAAATTTTAAAAATATATAAAATTACAATAAACTATTTTAAAATGCCAATAGATTATTAGCAAAACAAAATTTTGGTCTATAATGAATAGCTTATATTCATATAATAAACTTCGTATTTCTACTATATGCAACAAATTCTACCTTATAAAAATATCTTTAATTATATTTATTAATAAGTATAAATATGTTTTTAAAATTTTATCGTATTAAATTTTAATTATAAATTATTTTAATTATAATTCACACTTTTATGTTCTAATAAAAAATATAAGTTGCAGTGACTTAAAATAATATGATAGTTTTTTCTGTTATATAATAAGTTATATTAATTATGAAAGCATTTTAGTCATTTACTATTTATTACTGTTTTATTTTAATTTTTAATATAGTCAAATTAAACGTGACAATAAAATTATATGAGTTATAGTGACAGTAAATTAGAATAATTATTTTATTAAAATTTATTTTGTTATTTATTATTAAATAATTATTTTTTTACAAGCTTACAACTTTCTTATATTTTTATTGATTGATTATTTTATTTATTTTATATTTTATTCTATTCAGTAAACAAAAAATAATAAATTATAAAAAAAAATGTGAGAACTAAATCAAATATTATAGTTCTTGTGGATTTAGCCTATGCAAGTCCTTGATAATGACAATACAATCATTATCTAATTCTCGTAGGTACATGGACCTAAACCCATTATATCCAACCATAGGTTAGTGAAATGCTAAGTGGTTAAAAAGTAGATGAAATATTTGTTGGGTCGAAAGAATTGAAGTTGCAAACTTAGTTCTTATCATGTTATAGCTGGAGAAACAAGGGATTTGAGACTCCTCCCATTCAATTTCAATCTCTCATTTGGAAAAATAAATTCTCAAGGAAACTCAAGATACGATCTCAGTAATTTTGTTCGAAGAAAAAGCATTGTACATATCCACAATTGTGAAAAAGATAATCTAGCTTATTGATGAGTTTGTAAGTTTGGGATTGCAATTAGTCAAATGAAAAAGTAAACAAAGTCAAAGAACCGAGAAACAAAAGCACAGAAGCGGTGAGATGGGTTTTTGATGAGCTTGTGATTCTAGATATAGTAACTGTAATTAGGTAGATTCGGAGGCAAATAGGGACAAAGGACAAAGAAACGAGAGCAAGAAACATTTGGAACCCGAAATGGAGTCTTAGACGAGTTGATAGAATGATTAACAAAGATAAGAAAGTAAAGAGAGCAGTAATCAGTCCAAGTAGGTTTAACTATAGGTGAAAAAGTGAAAGAAGTAAATTATGACTCGTATAGAATGATAACAAAGAAAGATTGTTAATGGAGATATTGGTATGAGGAGATTCACTTTGAACCAATTTGAGCCGATTTCTCATTGTAAACAAATTAATTTTTTTTCTTTTAGTTTTAAACCAATTTGATCCGTTCTTCTACATATATTTTTCTAAAATATCACATAAGATATCATATAAATTAATCAAAAGACAATAAATGTGGTTGAATTTAACATATGATACCAATTCAATGACAATAGGAAATGACTAAATAAATTTTTTTTTTCATAAGTATAGAAACTAATTTAATAAAAGGAATGAACATACTTGAATAAAAATTAATAGCATAGATACTAAATTATTTTCGAGATTTTTTAAAAAATACAATTATTAATTTAATGAAAGATGTTGACAAACTTGAATAAAAGTTAATAGTACAGAGACTATATTATTATTATTTTTTTTTGCATTTATTATTCAAAAAAGAATTGTCATTTTCTAATTAAACTAAAAGTAATTCAAAGTAAAATTGACAGAAATTTCGTATCTATTCCAAACATGACCATTCTTTGACATAAAACATAAATTTCAAACCCTTTATCCTTGAATATTTTAATCCAAAGGGATCACAGAGAAAATCCAATCTTCCAGCTCCTTATGAGTAGAAGGAAAACTCCATCTCAAACATATTGACTCCCCTATCATGCAGCAGGCACAGCTCTCTGCATGTGCATTCCTCAAGAGAGATTCTAAAATGGATCTTGAAGCATTATGTTCATCAAGTAATTTTTGATATTTTATAATAATTTCATAATTTTGTGTGGTAAGCAATTATGAGTGTAATTATTTGACTATTCCGCAATATTAAACAAATATTGAAACATAATCCAAAACATTCTAAAAACACAGTAATACACCCACCATATGAACGCAATCTCCTCTGAATGAATAGTAATAATAATAACAGACTCGAAAAATTAAGCCAGATTGATGCAACAGCAGAAAGTAGCATAGCAATAAACAGATGACAAGAGATTATAACTAAGTAAGATCTCTATTGCCCTTTCCAGAAAAAAAAAAAAAAAAAAAAGAAGGTAAGAAGATCTATATTGCATTCTGCATCCACAACACAATATCGTCCCCACTGGAAGAAAGAAACAAAAACCTAAGGAAGCAATATCATCTCTAAGAACCAGAACTGTCGCACCAAACAAAATCCTCTCCACAAAACCAAATGACTGATGTTTATTTCACATAAACAGAATGAACAAAGAGAAAGTACATGCTCTTATATCATAATTGGAAAAAAGAAGAAAAAACTAGAGCACCAAGGAACTTGCCAGCTTACCGCACTGGCTGCTGATTGTAGTGATTCTTCTCCTTCTTCTTTGCAGCAGCAAGCCTTGCACTCCTTGCAGCAGCCTCATTAGCAGCAGCTCGAGCAGCTGCATCCATATCTTTGGTTGATTTTTTCTTCTTCGTAGAAGTCATTTTCTTCAATCTCTCCTTGACATCAATAGTAGAAGTATCGTCTACCTTCTCAGCAGCAGCAACTTCATCTCCCTCATTCTTAACATCAGATCCATCAGGTTGCTCCTGCAATGATTCTTTTGCCTCCTTTGAAGATTTATCCTTCTTTTTCTTCTTTTTTGCATTTTTGCTCTCTCCAGGGGCACCCTCCTTTTTCGCTTCAACATTATTCTCTGCTTTCTTCTCTTGTGCGACTCCTGCCAGGAAGTGAAAAGAGTTGTGAATGAAATCTACAGAGTCCAATCAAGTACCATGCAAGTTGTGCTCAACAATAAATATTGATTGATGCTTACCACAGGAGTCATCTTGACCACTCGTTTCCCTTCCAGACTGTCCTATTCCTAACTCAGCAAGAACAGCATCAAGTTCCTCAAGCTCCTTCTTCTTCAACTCCTTCTTTGAGAGCTGTCTATCTGTTTCTTTTTGCGCTAGAATATCAGCAGGCTTCTTAACAACAGGCTCAACCTCTACAGGGGGCTCAGGTTCAATCTCGTGCTCTTCATCAACATCATCGTCACCATCAAAAAGACCTTCATCCTCACTTTCACTTTCCTGGAATGCCATAATGGATTGATATAAAATCCATTGGGTAATTTATGAAGGAGAGTAGGGTATTCATAAACTTAATTCTTCCTGACATATTCCAGAGTCAACCAGTTTACTGTTAATCTTAAGCAGCGAAACAGTAGAACCGAGTGATAACGAGTTACAACACAATGCCTTAAACACCTAAAAGAGCAAACATGTGAACTCAACCATCCCAACCCCTAAAATGAACAAAAATAGAGAAACAAGTCATTTTTGAAATAAAGATTCTTTTCCTAAAGTGTTAATCATAAAATATGTGACTATCTATAGGCTATAGCCGCAGAATTAATTAGGCTATTTATCTGCCTTGATAATTTATAGGTTCCAAAAGTTACTTTGCATTATCCTCTTTGCACTATGAAGGCAAGTTCTTTAAACCTAGATCCAAATTGTTAAAGTTGTTGTTTTATCACTAGCTAAGACCAAAAGTACACCAAACCCTGTCCAGCCACTGTCAGTAAGGACGTGACTTTTTTTGAACTACGTGAATTACAAAGTTAGATTCTTGCACGCCCCAGTATACAGATATCATATTGTCATAACTTTGTCTGTTTCCTAGGAATTTTTGCCAACTGATCATTAATTTAAATCTTAAATAAAACGTAGTTTATCATATTGCACGTTTGCATCACAGTTAAAACTTCAAAGATCATCAATCGTGAGGAACAGATTTAAGTAACAAAGGTGAAATGACCATCTCATGGAAAATGACATGAAGAACTATGATTCAAAGATCTCCAATGAGCTTCACCATTAACACGTGTTAATAGGTGCAACTTATGAATAATTTAATGAAACCGAGAAGCTAAACAACAACAAAGTCAAGAGATCCATTAAATCAATTGAAAGAAAGTCCATTAACTTTTTGATTCTAAAAAGCTCAAGGTCATGAAAGTAATTTTAACTAGAGATACCGACATTAGCAGCATAGATCACGGGTGTGTATAAACCAGGTAGAATATGCAGCAGACTAAATGTCGTATAACATAGATATTCTAACTTAACAGAATCAACCTTTTTGCCCGACAAACTAATGATTAAATAAAAAGGCAAAGAAGACAAACAAGAAATCTCAAGTTTCAACAAAAAGTGTTCAAACATCTAGCCACAGCATAACACTATGATAATCATTTTTTGAAAGATATACACTATAATGATCATGTAACGATTATACTCATTAAACTTTTACTTAATAAGAGCAAGTGATCAATCAAAATATTTTTCTTTGATCACAGAAAATATCTATACTTATAGCACGTAGAACTATTATATCAATTAACAGCACAAATATTTCAACTTATAATAATGCTATTCAATCTCCATAAAGTAAAGAACAATAGAAGGTCAATTATTCCCGAACTGGAAACATGTATCAGATAGCTTGCTGCATTTCATAAAAGCCATTTTCCACACCAAGATATTATCAATCAACTATGACATATTGAAAACACATATTAGCATACATTCATCTGTTTCCAAGTTCACTGCCCTAACCTTCAAATAAACAGGAAAAAGAATTACCAAGTAGCATCTAAGACCTCAACAGAATCGCCAAACCCACCACGATATAGATAAACAGTGGAATAATAAGATAAGCAACGAATTAAATATTACGATACAAGCTGTATACCTCCACTGCAGCCTCATTCTCCTTCGGGGACTTGGAATCCCCAGGGGGCCCCCATGCGGATGAGGGAGGCGCGGTAGTGGCGTAGAAGTCGTCATCATCATCATCGTCCACGTCGGCCCAAGACTCCACCCTGAGCGGCGCGGGAGCCCAGAAAACCTCCTTCTCGGGTTCCTTCGCTGCCTTTTTCGCGGTGGACCCCTTGCTCTTCGAGGTGCCTTGTTCTTTGTTCTTCTTCTTCTTCAAGCTCCCAAGCGCCGCAAACACATTTGTGCTGTTTATCGCCAGCGACTCGTCTCTCCTGCTTCCACCTCCCACCATATCTTCTATGCGCCCAGTATATCCTCTTCCTGTTAACCAAACACCAGCTTCAAAGCAGCAAAAGTGTTACCAAACGAAAAAATGAAAAAGAAAACAACAATGATCTCTTCTGTATGGATAATAGGATCCGATTTCTTTAGACGAGGACGATTCCCTAAACAAAAATTGAATCTAATTTGACAAAGCAGACAATTTGGAAAAGAGACGATAGAAGGATTTTTTTTTCCCAAAACTCGATTGGGATATTCTGGTCTCAAGTTATCTAGGATCGGATTTGTACAAGAAACACAAAATGCGATGAGAAATAGGCTTCTAATGACCGGAGAAGAGAAGCATAGAAATCTGAATCGGAGAACGATGGGTAAGTAGTCTAGTAGATAGGGTTTGCTGTGGCCAAAACGGCTTCGTTTTGGTTTTGATTAGCTAAGAGAGAAATGCAGCTCAGCCAGAGACACCTCTCAGTGCGGTGGTTTTTATATCAAGCAACGCGACGAGTAACCCTCTCCCCCCTGTTACTTTCTATATGTGCGTTTTCTTTCTTCGTCGCTGCGTGTTGTGTTTTCTGCTTGGACTGGGACGGAATTAAACGCAGCGAAATAATGTCGTATTGGCTCCGAGCCTTCTTCCGTTTTTTACCGTGCTGTGGCCTAATGGGCGAGGTAAAAAACTAAAATTGATGCCAAATTATTTACAAATTTAAACTGACATCAGATTAATTATAAGAATTTAAGTTATAGGGTTGATTTTAATTAATTTTATTTTCAGCTTCTACTATAATATCAATCTTTTTATTTTATTACAAATACCATACTCATCAACCGTGGTAATTATTTATTCCGATAAAAACAATTGGGCCCCATAAACAAATGTTGACCAAATTAAAGAGAACGACAACAGTACCTTAATAAACAAAATTATTAATTAATGAATTAATTTATAAATTAAAAAGAAAAAAAACAATCTCTAATCTAAATTAGCTAACAAAAAAATAAGTTATAATTGTATAGAATTTATAAAATTTATAAAAGAAAAGAAAATATATGTTTTACTTGCTTTTAAAAAATTAAAAATTTTACTTACGATCAAAAACTAAAAAGTAAAATCAAACCAAACTACTTACGTTAAAAGTTTTTTTTTTAAAAAAAAAAGAAAAAAAGAAATAATTTCTACTTACGTTTCTACTGCAGTAAAAGGGGTGATAATAATAATAATAATAATGATAATGAATTTTATTTTAATTTGAAGATTGTTATTATCGATGTAACGGATAAGTTGTAAAATTTTGGATTCGTGTGTGGATTACTAAATATGAGCCGTTCGATGTTATTACAGTATCAAAGATTTGGTCGGAGAGTCTTTTAGCGCGTCATGTGGGTCCCACGCGGGAAGCCATTTTTACACGCTGTTATTGGGAGTTTTATTAGAGGCATGTAAAATGTGAGCGAGAGGAATCGGAGGCGTCTCTCCCTGTGAGCGAGAACATTTGGTTCCACAAGGGACACGCTAATTTTTAAAATATTTTTTTACCAATAATTTTATGATATAAATATATATTTTAATAACACTAAAGATATAAATTAATATATATATATATATACTGAGATAAAATAATGTTTAATCTCCTGTAAAAAAAAAATTAAAAATTTGAGTTAAAAAAAATAATAAAGATGACTATTTCAATCATTTTAAAAGAAAATGTGAAAAATAACATACCAGATTTTTTTCAACTCTGAGTATCTTTTAGCATATATAGATGCTGAGTGAAATTAATTTAATTTAATTTTTTTTAAAAAAATAAATATAATATTTAAACTAATTTTATTTATTATATTTTCATAAATTTACTGACTGACCTAATTTTTTACATTTAACTCCTCAGCTACTTAGGTTTTGATTATTTCTTATCATTTTTATAAACATTCGTCGAAGCAAACTGTTAAAGATATTCTACTCACAAAAAAGTTACAGTGAGTTTATCTAATACAAAATAATCATAACCTGTGCAATATATTTCTGTGTCTCTAACGCAAGAAACAACTATATATATAGTTGACTATATATTTGCCGTATTGAAATGTTGATTCGAATCTCAGTTGCATTAATTGTAAAAAAAGAAAAGATAATGCATACAAGGGTTGAATAGAATTGATGCTGTACGTATAGATATATAAGCCAATTAGTGGCAGTGCCACCCAAAAAGCTCCTGGTAAGAAAAGAAAACCAATGAATTCATTCTGGCACTGGAAAAGGTAATGTCATTTCTGTAATGACATCAACACGCATGCATTCTTAAATCACATTAAAGCCTTTTCTTCTTTACAAGATAATCACCCTTAAAGGGTTTATTATCAACACTTCAATTCCAATAGCAACAAAGAGGAAAGTAACTTCAGCACCAAGAAGCTAATTATCTTCCACCATATATTACTATCAATACTTCAATTCCAATAGATAATAAAGGGATTATTATCAACACTTCAATTCCAATAGCAACAAAGAGGAAAGTAACTTCAGCACCAAGAAGTTAATTATCTTCCACCATATATTACTATCAATACTTCAATTCCAATAGATTCACCCATCTTCTGAAAAGCAGCAAAGAGGAGTAACTTACAGCACCAAGATGGTAACTTTCTTCCACCCAAAAAAATAAAAAAAAGACTGACTTACAGGAATCAAGATGAAGCAAGTGTTGCAGAATTATCAAAAGTGGTACCCACATGGTGAATAACAAAGCCAAAAATCTTCTTCTTTAATGACTCAATCTTTTCTGTCAATGGTTCATCTCTGCTGCTTGCAACTCCTACACGGTCCAACCACTCATTGACCCTTTTCAGCTGTGACAAAACTGCTGCAACAGAGCCACAGTCCATAGGCAACACTGTTTTATCTCCATTAGTACTACGTTCCCCTAGTGCCCGGAAACCTGCATCTAAGGATTCCTCCACAAACTTTACAAACCACATCTGCATATCAGACTTCAATATTTTTCCAAGCTCAGCGGTCTCCTTCATGCCATGACCCTTTGTCCATGTCCCTAATACGGGATCTACGGATGATACTGATACTGAATTTGCCTTGATTTGGGTTTTAGAATTTGCATTAATGGACTGTCGTTTTGAGAAGCTTTTCTGCAATGTTGTTGGAGGCTCATTTTTCTGGGTTGTCAGAAGAGATACTATACCAAGATCTGTGGCCAGTGCAGCTTCAACCCAAAGAGAAGCTGAGTTTGATTGCTCTAGGGGGATATTATCACGAGAATGAGAACAATGGCTAGTTGCAATAGACTCAGAGACTGTAGTATATGTCACAACATCATCATAGATTGATAAAAACTGGTTGATGGTGGGTAATGGGTTCTGAGCCTTGGACATGGAAGAAAGCTCTGAGAATTTGCTGAAATAGATAATGAATCTCAAAGTTATACTCTTATTTTGGCCATTAGGATGCATATTATATTTCAAAATGCATGTCATATTACATACGAAGTTTTAAATTATGCTTCATTTGTCTGTCATGTGACGGTAGCTTGATAAACAGAATAACCACAACATATAATTTGATAGACTCCTTAAACTCCTTATGATACCTTAAACTCCTTATGATAGATTCAGTTGCATTTGCCTCTTCTAATGCTTCAGCTGCAGCCCTCGAAGCCAGAACTCTCCTTTGCGTAGCCTCCTGAATTCAATCCAACGTTAGCATCGGTAACCATAAGTCAGCCTTTTGGTATAAAAATTTAATCGATTTTTCTTAAGATGCGGGAGTTGGTTAATTCAGTCGTAGGAAGTCACCTACTCGTTAGGGGTAGTTTCATCCTAGTATCTTTGCCTAGAATGCACTTATTTATAGCCAGTTCTGGAAAAAATAAAATAAAATGGTAGGCATAATTTTAATAAAAATCTTACTCTTTTACTCAACAAAATCGTTGAATTCTCTCTTAAGAAGCACAAACTTTTCTGAGCAAAATAGATCATAAATGGAGAAAGTTGCGGAAGCATTCTGCAACTTCCTTTTTTTTTTTAAAAAAAAATTCTGTTTCAAGTCCTATAACCAATCCAGGGCTAGGAACACATCAACCACCCATGAATAGAAGCACGTACAACTCAGTCTTACTAACTGATATCTACTGTATCATTTCGCTTAACTGTCTTAAGGTGATTCTAAGAGAATTACTCCAGTTTCGAGGGATTTGATCTATTTTCAGTTCATCTAAGGCCAGAAAATTTTGAAGGCAACTGCCTTCGATGCATGTTAGAAGTGCCCAACTTTCAAAAGCCATTGACCAACTACATATATAGTCTTTTGAAGAAGGAAAGTTCAACGCTTTCATATCATATTATAAATACCAACTTTCCTTCATACCTTCCCAAGCCTTGCAAGGTCAGGAGAGATAGTCTGCCATGGCACACTGCCGTCAGTCCATTTCTTTTCATGAACTGTTATTCCTAGAGCTTCAAAGGCGGGAGTCTCTTGAACAGAATGACTTTCTGGTGAACTGGGTTTTGTTTTGTCTCCGGCTGAAGAATCGTCAGAGTGATTTTTACGGCTGCCCGCATCACTTAGACGCCTTGAAATGGCAGCCTATAAAACACAAAGCATTAGTCCTGAAACTAAACAGAGCATAGGTTCAAATTGTTCTCTGCAACAGGAGGCTATTGTTTCTATTGAATAATTAAACAAAACCGATAAAAACAATACATCAGCGTATATCGGAAAGAAAATACGTTATAAACAAAACCGTTAGAAGAAAAGCGTTAATTACTTTTTTGGCTGTGGGTTAAAGCCTGCAATACCCTGTGCAGATTTAAGTTTCATAGAAATGCAGCAGCCAATCGAACAATAGATCTTTGTCTAATATGCCGTGAAATAACAGAATTGACATGATGTTAACAAAGTTTCAGATATATGAAAGCTTCAGATATGTTATTTTTACTCTAATGTGGTACAATCCGGATAAAATCCAAACCAATAGATTATACGTATTTAAATTTTCAGAGTTTTGGTTTCAACAAATTACAAATTTAAGTGTTAATCACATTACATGATTGAAGAAGATTAATGAATTGATTAGTTCTTAACAAGGAAGGCGCACTACTTTGTGTTCTGACAATTTCGGTTTAAAACTTCAACAGAACCATAGTCAAGTGTATTTCATATATGAAATAAAATTAAGAAACAAAAAGAAGCAACATCGTATAAAATGTTGAAAATTCTAAGAAGTGCATTACCTGAGTCCGCAAAATTGCTTGCAGATCTGGTTTGTTCTTACTAACAATCTTCTCCCTCTGCTCCTCAGGAGCCGGCATAGCCGGTGGCTCATCCCAACTCTTCCTGTTACTCTTTGCGGATCCGACGAGCGCCTCCGAGACCTTGGAAATGCCGGCGGCTATGGTGGCCATCTTCTTCTTAGTTGCAGAATCACCCACAACGGGAGACACTTTAACACCCCCAGATAATCTCCTCCCAGGAGAAAGCGAAGCCCTTCTCGCAATAGGCGAGGCCTGTTTCCTAGCGTTGGGTGAAGGCTGTCTATACCTCGACGGAACGATGATAGCTGGCTCCTTCGAAACCCTCCTGTTCTCTTCTTTTGCAGCAACCAGACTTGGTACCACACATTTTGACGGAACAGGGGATGCTGATCTCTTCCCCTTCGTGGCGGGAGACGGATCCCTCTCCACCACAGCGGCTGCAATCTTCCTACCGGTCGAAACAGGCCTCTTGGAGGTAGCCGGAGACGAAAACCTCTGCGGGAGTTTGTCCTTACCCAAAACTTTGACATCGTCATTCGAATTCGAATCGGCAACCATCAAGTTATCTCTAGGGGCAAGAGCCTGCCTAGTCTTCGGCTTGTCAATTTTAGTATCCTTGTTATCGCTTCGAGGAAGAATGTTGTCAGGAGCTTTGTTGTTGGACAAGTAAACGGCTATTGGATCGACAGAGTACTCAGAGTCAGAGACGGGTTGAATAACGAAGTCCCTGGAAGAGGCCGAGATGCGGGCAATGAGAGGATCTGGGGAGCCGACAAAAGAGTGACGGCCGGCGATGGGGCGAATGCCGGAAACGCGGGGTACCGGGGAGTCAAGTTCGAAACGGTCGACGTAGACAAACTGACCGAGCTGCAGCCTATTGGTGAGGATGAGATCGATGTCACGTTCGGAGAGGGAGACGTAGGTGGAGTTGAGGGAATCGGAAAGCTGGACATAGAACCCATGATTCGGCCAGAGATCGGAGCCGGCCAGTGCCGGGACTATGCCAATAACTTGCAGGAGGGCAGAGCGGTGTTCTCCGGTGACGCGGGTGCTGGAGTTCATGGATTGCAACAGCTTGAGCAAGATTCCCGGATTGAGCGAGGCCATTGTCTCTGCGTGCGCGAGTGTGACTGAGTGAGTGAGAGAGAGAGAGAGGGAGAGAGAGGAGAGTGCGTTGGGTGTTGTGGTGCGTAGGAGTAAAGAAAAAAGGAGGAGAAGGGGGATTCGGCCGTTACTCAGATTCAAATTCAAAATTTCCACTAATTATTATTATACGGAATTTTTCTTTTCTCTGGTAGGGACAGCTTTGGAACCTTGTGCAAGTGTTAACCGTCTGGTGAAACCATTTTAACAATATGATTATTTTAAATATTTTATTGTATTTTTCTTTTGAAATAAATAAAAGTTTATAAGGTAAGTTTATTTTCTGTAATGTTAGTGTTGTTTTTTAGATACTAACAATGTGATAAATTTAGTTAAAAAATATCTAAAATTATTTTAAAATGCTATATATATATATATTTTCTTTACAAATAGCAAAAGATCTTTCTATTTATTTAGGGACAAAAATGATTTAAAAGCTACATATAATTTTTATTAAACTTAAATAAGATTCTAAATTTAAAAAAAAAAAAAAACAATTTAAGAATAAATCCTGCATACATCTAATTTTTGTTTATTACTATAATCTATATAATTAAGCAAACGTAATTGTTTTATTAAGTTTGTTAATATAATCCTAAAATCTAAAATATAAATGAGTCAGACAGAAGGAGTTTTTATAATTTTTTTTTTTTAAAAGTAAAAAATCTAAAATGTAATTGAAATATAACGCTATTATAACTAACCCAGTCCAAATGATAGTTTATATACATGCACATACAGTGAGGTTCAATAGATTTCCATTTCTATTAAAAAAACTTTTGAAATGTGGAATGAGACTCTGATCCAATATTATTTCCAATTACTTTTCACAGGACCACTAAACATATATCTGAAGTGGTTGATTGTATGAGTCAAACACAAAAAGAAAATGTAATATTTTTTTAAGAAACATTAACTTTTTATTTTTACCTTTTGAAATCGGATTCAAATTCAGAAAACTCCTTGAATTCAAAACATTCTAATTTTCACACACAAGTAATATTAAAACCCCATGAACTTTTTGAGATTAAACATCCCAATAATCACATATGCTTCAAAAATTTTGATATAAAACAAGAGAGAATTTCCATAAATGAAAGATATTTTTATTATACATCAAAGTCAAAAATTTTTCATAACACTTTCCATTGGATTTTCATATGAATACACAATACATACCGTCCCTACAATTTTGTCCCAAGAAGAGCACCTCTAAATTTTATACTCGTAGTAAAGAATAAACTTGTTGTAGAAACCAAATAAAGAGGACAAAATGCTTCCCTTTTGTTTTCTTCTCTATTCCTCTCTATTTTGTTTACATTGTTATTATGCCACAAAAAATAAGAAAATCATGAGAAATACAATCAGAACCAAGAATATCTTAATCATCAACCATCTGTTGGATGAAATGCTGTTAAGGTATCTCACCAGTTGGGTCTGTGCACCCTCAACATTTGCGAGTGACTCATCCATGTTCTCATCAATCCTGTCAACAAAAGCAAATATTTGTTTCGCTGAGTTTTGAAGCGTAGATCAAATAAATCTCTATCATTATCATGAAAATTTACTTGTAATCCATTTGGCTAACTTCCCATCCAATTCTGAGCCATACCTACACTTTCTGTATCAGTTATATTTATCATTACAACATAATTTTACATGTTTTGAGATTCCCATGCTCACCTTAAATTCTGGGGAGTGAAAATTCAATTCCTACTTCTAAGTTAACTGGCAATGAAATAGATAAAGATCATTACTATCTCTATATCCAGTTGCACCTACAGTCGTGCAGTCCAGCCGCACCTGTCTCCTGTCGTGCGTCTGCCCCCAGCCTATTGCAAGTCACACAGACTGACCATCTCCACTACAAGCCCACCTTCATACCCACCCCTAACCACCAGAATCTCACGGCCAGAAGCAACCAGAAGGAACTGCTCAACCGCTAAGCTGCCAGAACCGCACACCTGTACTTGCGTAGCCCTTATATGGCTACCCTGCCACAGCCTTGCCCTAGCTTCTTCTGCTGCACGCCAGCCTCCTTGGTCGCACACCGCTACCCACATGCAAGACCGAGCCATGGCCCATTCTGCCTTATGCATTTCTATCCAAGTTCTATTCTACTCAGCCGCTCCAAGTGGTGATTCTGCCTAGGATACACAATGGCATTATCTAGTAGTAACATCCTTCCTGTGACCTTTTATTTGGTCTTAATTGCCCCACGACTCTTAAAATATGCCGGAGGTTACATCCAGAAGTACATTAACAAATTCCCACATGGAAAACCCTAACCAAAACAATATCAAACTGTAGCCAATCTAGCCTACTTATCGCTTGACCAGCAACAATCACTTCAGCTGGTCGCAGTAAAATTAGGATCACTTTCAAGGGAAAATGAAAGCTTAACCACCTCTCAGGCACTGGACCAAAACCAGGGGACTCCACTTTTGACACATGGGATGAGGAAGACTCAATAATCATGGTGTGACTCTGGAACTCTATGTCACCAGAAATAAGTAAAATAGTTATGTTCTGTACACAGCCAAAGAAGTGTGAGAAGCAATCAGAGAAATCTATTCTAAAGTCAAAGATGTAATTCAAATTTATGACTTGAAAGTCAAGAAATGGTCTACGAAACAAGAAGACAGGTCAGTCATTGAATATTTTAACATGTTGAAAGGTTGTTGACTGGAATTGGATCAGTACTGGAGTTTTACAATGGGCTGCAGCAAGGATGCAACCCGCTTCAAACAGTTTGTAAAATAAAACTCAGGGCAATCAGTTTCTAGCGGGACTCAACCAGGATTTTGGTCAAGTAAGAGTCAAAATCTTACGCAAAAACGAAATATCATCACTGATGAAGTGGTTGATATTGTATCAGCAGAAGAGAGCAAGAGAAGGATCATGTTTGAATCTCGATCCAGTGATAGCTCAACACTAATTTCCAAATGCCCTAATCCAAGCCAATAGGGAAAAGAACTAAGTCAAGTAAGAAATTTCATGTCTAATTGCTGAAAACATGGACAATCTTTGATGTACTTTTTACAAGAAGCTTAGACACACCAAAGATAAATATTGGAAACTCTATAGTAAGCCCAATACCTCAAGCAAGAATTGGAGTTACAAGAAGACTCCACAAAAGTCCCACAGACAGGCCCGTGCGGTCCAGCAGGAGGAGGAAGAGAAAACTACTGATCTAAATGAATTTACAGCTGAAATATAACAATTTGAAAGCATATTAGAAAACTTGGAGAAACCCACATATACAACTCTGATGAAAAATTAGGTATGCTTTCTTTCTCAAACAATTTTCATGCATTGGATAGACTATTTGAAAATTCATGGATAATGGACTCAAGGATTACCGATCATATGATCAATATTTATAAGTATTTTCACAATTATGTGTCATGCCCCAGTAGTAGGAAAATTATCATGGCAGATGGTTCTTTAAACACTATTGTTAGGATGGGCAAGATCAAGCTGAGTTCTACTCTGATTCTTGAAAATGGGTTGCATGTTTCTAAACTATGTATACACCTGATGTCACCAAATTATCACAAAATTTATACTGCAAATTTCCACTGTTTTATTTTCATTGAGATTTTCAGGATTAGAACTTAGGGAAGATGATTGTGCGTATCAAGGATAGAAATGAATTATACTACTTGGACACTTCTAGTGGATCTCTCTCCGTTATTTCCATCAATCCTAACCACAAGATTTGGTGCTACCACAAGAGACTTGGTCATCTATCCTTTTCCACTTTAAAGGTTATGCTTCCTCTATCATTTAAAACTTTTGATAACGGGAATTTATATCGCGATATATGCTTGTTAAGCAAACATTGCGTGTAAAATCTTCTATTAGCGATAAACGAAAGATGTTTCTATTCTCTTTAATCCATAGTAATGTTTAGCGGCCATTCCACATTTTTAACATTTATGCTGCTCGATAATTTGTGTTTTTTATTGATGATTGCATTATCCTTACATGACTTTTCTTAATCAAATCCAAATAAGATATTAGCCACATAATAACTTAGTTTTGCAAAATGATAAAAACCCAATTTAGAACCCACATAAAATGATTACGCACTAATAACGCAAAAGACTTTTTTAACTACACAATCTACTCATTTTTCCACCAAGAAGGGATTATTCATTAATCATCATGCATCCACACTCCACCATAAAACGGAGTGGTGGAACATAAGAATGGTAACCTTCTTACGACCACTAGAGCCTTTCTATTCTAGAACTACACCCAAAAACAAGATTGTGGTGAAACCATCCTTGCTGCCATGTTAGTATTAAACACTTACCCTCGAATGCACTAGTACTCAAAAAAAGTCCTCTATAAACCATTTCCAAATTCTATTTAGAAATAATAGTCACAAACAGTTTGGTCCTATGAATATTTAGGCGTGTTACCTATATTCATGTTCATTCACATCAACAAAGGAAACTTAATCATAGAGCTTTAAAATGTGTATTTGTAGGAAATTTTTTTTTTTAAAAATAGGTATATATGTTACTATCCACTTATCCAAAATTCTAAGTGGATGTCACCTTTATTAAACAAAAGTCATATTTTTCTCAACCTTATCTTAAATGAGAATATATGTTGGAAAATAAGGATACTGAGTTCTTTATGCTACCATCGTCGCCACATACCCAACCACCACCATAAGAACACCCATAGAAATCATCAAAGAACCCACCCACTTAAAAAACTATAATTGATCTCACATTCACAGATGTATACAAGGAGAAAGAATCTGAGTTGTGAACCCAAGCAGAGTCAAGACATGAATTTTGAGGTTGAGATAAACCTTGAAGACCTTATAAAGTCTGATAATGATAATACCCAATGTAGTACATAAAAGAACCAGGGCATGCATTTAACATCCATTTTATTCTATTTACAGCTTATATCATCTAATAAGTTTTCATAGTTCCTTAAATATTTCCTCACAAGTTTAAATATCGAGTTTATCATTAACATTGTCTCTGAGACACTGTCTTGTGAGAAATAAAAAAATGTCGTAAATATTGAAATACATGCACTAAAGAAAAACCAAACATGACAATTGATGGATTTTCCTAAATAGAAGAAGTCTGTGGATTAACAAGTGAATATTCACAATAAAATACAAAGCATATAAAACAATCATAAAACTGGTGGCAAAAAGAAATATCTAGATTTATGAGATACATTATCAAGAGACATTTGCACCAATAATTAAGATAAATACGACGCGAATTTTTTATCCTTAACTACTCATTTTGATTGCCAAGTGCAACAATTCAAGATGAAGGATCTAGTCCTACATGGACATCTGCAAAAAGAAATCTATATGGAGATTCCATCAGCATTTAACGGAGGGACAGGACCACACAAAGTTTGGTAAATTGGATGCACTCTATGGACTAAAGTAATCACCTACAGCATGATTTGATAGATCTGCAAGTGTGATGACAAGCTTGGGATGTAAGTAAGCTTAAAGACATCACACACTGCTTATTAAGCATTATGAGACAAGAAGAGTTACTACTATCCTAGTTTATGTGACATTATTGTAATAGAGGATGATGAAACGAAAAATTAATACTCAAGCAATATTTAGCTAGAGAATTTGAAATAAAAGGAGCTAAATTGAAGTACTTTCTAGGAATAGAAGTTGTTGGCCCAAAATCAAGGATTTTCATCTCTCACCAGAACTGTATTTATGGCTGTTAATAGATATGGACAAACTAGCATGTAAGTCAGCTAGTGCTTCTATCTATCTCAATCATAGACTAAGACTGGCAGAAGAGGATACACAAGTAGATAGACGTATCAAAAATTAGTTGAGAAACTGATACACCTGTCACATACAAGACCTAACATTATTTATGCAACAAGTGTTATAAGTTAATTCATGCATAACTTTAAAAAAGTATACTTATAGGTAGCATACAGAGTGTTGTATTACCTAAAAGGGTTATCTGGAAAAGAAATCATGTTTAGAAAGAATGACAAGTTGCTTTATAAAACTATACAAATGTAGACTATGCAGAGCTATGGTGGACATATGAGTGGTTATTATACATTCCTAGGGGATAACTTGATTACTTAGAGGAGTAAGAAACAAAATGTAGTTATAAGATTGAGTGCAGAATTGAATTTCGGACAATGGTACAAACAGCATATGAATTGCTATGGCTAAATAGAATTTTAGATTATCTAAAAATCACGTGGGACAGTCCCATGTGACTATATTGTGACAGTAAATCAATCAGAAACACTACCTATAATTTACTTCAACATGACAGAACCAAAATATATTGAAATTGATAGGTGTTTCATAAAAAAAAAAAAGCTAGATAGTGGCTCGATATGTATCCTATACGTGCCAACCAGCTCTCAGCTTGTAAGTATGTTGACTAAAGGCCTCAGTAATCCAACATTCTAGACTAACATAGGCAAGTTGATGATAGACAATATCTAACCCGACTTAGGGGAGAGTGTTAAAGAATATGCAATTAAGCTAAAGGGCATTAGGATAAAATACACTATATGTAATTAATGGTCTCTTTCCTTATCTATTCTAGAAAATTTGTATATTTACAGCTGTAATATTAAATAAAACACACATTCAACCATTCTTCACATTATCATTTCAGCAAAATAAAGCAAAAGCTTTTGCTATATTGTCTTATTCATTCTTCAAAATGGTGTGGCATCTTCATATATGAATACCCTTCGCCACGAGAAAGGAGCAAAAGTTATACCTCTAACATAAGCAAAATTTTGAATAAATTTTTATCCATAGTGTTTGATCTAATATTTAATTCGACTCAGAAAATGACATGCAAAATGTCAGGCCAAGAAGAACTGCCTCAATAGGAATTGAAGTTCAATTAGGAAACATTTTTAAAAAGGATTACGTTGATAAGATCTAGAAAAAGATCTATTCAATGAGATGAAGTACAATTATTGAAATGATAACAATTGACGAACCTGATTGCAATTTCTCCTTGCTGTGAAACCATAGTTGCGAGTTGTGTGAAGATGTTGCCTAACTCATGAATGGTTGATTCTACATTATGAAGGGCTTCAGCTCGACTCTGCATGTAACTGTCTTGTAGCGGCACCATCTGTTGCTGCTGTTGTCGCTGCTGCTGCAACAGTGGTTGAGCTTCAGTATCTCCTTGTTTGCTATCAAGCAAAAGGAGGAAAAGTTTATCAGGGACAAGGGGCTAATTGGAAAATCTCCTACCAGCCTCAACACCAGGCCAAATTCCACCAAAAGAAAAAGAAAATGGTACCTCATTCATTTTATTCATAACTCAATATCCAGAAATTTTTCACCATAAAAAATTAGGAACTGAATTCATTAAATTATCATATGTCAGAAAGAGGGATGTCTAAAACTTAACAGAGAAAGAAGATTCACACCAAATGAATTTGAAAACTGTGACATTTCCTAGTGGTAACTGAATCTGACAATCAGACAAACTGAAGTTTTACCTTGGAATTAACTGGGATGATGATGCAGAACCATTAGCCCATGGAGGAGGTGAAGGTGTAGATACACTAGCAGCTGATCTGGCTGCAAGAGGACGCTGACGAACAAAAGGATTTGAAGATTCCTTTGAAGCAGTGGAAGAAAATATCTGCCTTCTATTCTCATGAACTTTCAAATTCTGCATCACCCCAGATACAAAGCATTTAATTATTACTGAAATGACAATAACAAAGCTTGCGAAAGGTTTAAGGCCTTCCAAGCTGCAATCAAGGAACAAAAACACAAAGATACCTCTGTCCGCATGGTGAGGACTTCTTTGAACTCCTTTGTAGCACTCATTAAGCGATTCTTTAGGTTATCTACAACAGTTGTTGAATGGGATGTGGTGTCACTTGAGATACTCCCGCTGTCATTTTGAGTATTGCAAAGAAGTTGAAGATCTACTACAGCTGAATTAAGTGCAGTGATATCTTGCTTTATCACTGCTGTCAGCTCTTGAATCTCTTGAGTGGGATCATCAAACACTGATGTCCTCTTTGCCACTGATACCACAGCAGAAAAATAATGATTTTTCTATATTTTTTGCTTCAAATAGCAGATTTTTGAATTTCTATGGACATCACAAGTATATTTCATCCCTGTTATGATAATTATTACAGAACCATTCTTTTAAGGCACTGGTCGCTCATGTCTAGTGATTTTAGTTGTGTTCTAAATACTCCAACAGAGCAGTAGATTGCTAAAAGATAAAAGACAGATATTCCAAGACCAGAAAAAGAAAGCATCTCAATGTGAATCAAATAGAAAAAGGGACTCTATATAAAGCATTATCAACAACAATGAGAATTAATGAAACAACATTTTTTTCATTAGATGTTTATCTTCTCAAATTTTAGAAGTACAATTTTTTTATAAGAAAGAGATGTCTAGATGTAACAATTATTCAACCCAAAAGGCTTACCTTAAACCATGCAAGCAGAAGATTAAAATAGAAAAGATGACATAAAGCAACCAAGGCAACCTGGCAGTAAATCCAGTCATTTACCTTAAAAAATGAGTTATATCAGGAGATACTACATGCAAAGAGTTTAACTTACAATCAATATGATAGCCTACACAGTTTCGAAATCATTTCAAGGCAACCAGCATAATGAATGTTAATATTAGTACAAGTATTACATTAACGTGATATCTTCAGATATGTTTCTATTAGTTTCTGCAGACAAAATAAGAGAAAAAAAAGATAGTATACTTCAACAATTTTTGAGCATCACTTTATAAATGAAGTTTGCATGCATTTCACAAAACAACAGTGAAGACTCAAATTGATCCCAAGCAATGAGCTCCCACTCTTGCAATGCCAGCAAAAAACCTGATATTTGTTAGTCTTTCAAGGCGATTTTGTTATTTAAAATTTAAATAAATATAGCATCAAGACAACTGAAAAACAGTATTGGATTTAGCTCATTTAAATCCATAAGACCCAATCAAGACTACAAGGTTGCAACAAAATGAAATCCCCTAGATAAAATTTGTCTAACATAATTATACTTTACTATTCAGTAATTTAATTGTCTTGCACTAAGGACCAAAATCCTATAATCTTCATTTTTCTTTCAACCTCTAAATGTTTACAAAGGCAGAAAAGATATATGTGGTCACAGCGAATTGCAGGAAGCATTCTACCAAACATCTAAAGCTAATGCCAATTTAGTAGAAACTATTGCCATCTCATCAACTACATAAAACTGACTACCACCACAGCCCCCTCACAGTTGGTGCAGACATACTATCAACCTAATTATACCAGGAGGAATTCCAGAAAAAAAAGGAAGTCCAGTACCGACACATCAAGACCGTGCCATAAAGACAGTGCTCCGAATTTTTATGTCATCAACTAGTGAACTCTGAACTCCAGCAAAAATGGACATCATCACACACCTTGACTTTATAATATATGAACTGATCCAGCTAGTTCTCCTCTGAGGATTCCGAAACTAAATCCACCATCGATTATCACAAGATATTAGTGAATTCTATTGCATCCTCATCAATACAGGCAACAAATTCAAATAATTAACCCAAAATCGCCCAATTAACGTAACAAAACTTGACATACACCAAACGGGTCGGAATTGCAAAGACAAAATTCAAACCACTTACATTTCGCTAGCTTTGCCAGTTTCTGCGACGTCTGATGGATTCCATACCCGATCTTCGATGCCCTCTTGTTGAACTCTGATTGAATCGCCAAGGCAGATCGCCGATCCTCAGGTTTGGCGGGGCTAGTACTAATTCTACTCGATGCCGCATTGTCGGCCGATGAGAAGGACTTCTTTAGCCTCTCCGCTATGCTAAAAAATTCTTGCGTGCGATCGCGATACGACGATTGCCCCGGTTTCACTGGCATTTTCTTCCTCCCTCGCTCTTCGTAAAACAATATAGCAAACGAATTCTTGCAATTAACTCGATATGAACTTCTTTCTTTCTACGAGGAATAATTCGACGACGCTACAATTCAAAACTCGGGTTCATGGACAAATCTTAATCTGGAATCGGGAGGAAGAAGGAGAAGGGAGGGTTTGGGTGATGAAACGCAGGCGTTTTACGGGACAGGAAGGTGAAATAGCAAAAAGAATAATAAAGTACTGTGAAGCTTAGCGCTAGAGGAACAAGCTTTGGTAGATCTACGTTGAACTATGGTGAGAATGTGTCACCGCATTCTGGTTCAGGTTAAAAAAATGTTTTTGTGACGTGAAAATAATATTAATATTGGCACCCCAAAATTTACTGCATTTATATCAAATATTTAATCCAATCTTCAGAATAAATTAAAAAAATTATTGTTTATTATCGTAAAATTTATTAAAAAAAAATAATATTTCATTTAATTATAAGAATAGAAACTCTATACTAAATTAGCAAAAAATAATTATGAATTTGAAATAATTCAATATAAATTTAATCAAAATTATTATTTTAAATAATTTTTTTAATTAACAAAATTTAATCAATTTTTTTTTTTTTTTTTTTAGAAAAAAAGTTTAATAACAAACAAATCATTTATTTCTTGAAAGGGTAATACTTCTACTAACATTTTAAGAGTATGGATTGAAAATACTGAGTTGTAAAAGAAATTCAAAGAGGAGAATTTTTTTCTTTTTGTTCTTTGCTGCAAAATTATAGATTTTATTACATAAATTGATTGAAAATGTAACAACAAAGATTGAAAGAAAAATAAGAATACTGCAACATACACATATGATCTCCATGAATTCTCAGTGTTTTCTGTTTGTATCAAGTTTCAACGATCTATTAATCATAATATAAGCAAGAAAACCATCAATCCCTCAATTACTCTCAGTAGAACAATTAAGAATCCTCTCAGCAGCAGAGTTGACGAACCAAAAGCTATCATGATCGGAAACAAGCACTTCTCATCTGAAGGATCATCATCTGTGATCATAGCCAAACCAGAGAAATCACAATCCCAACTCTTTTGGTTATTCACTTGATAATACATGTTGAAAGCGTAGGAAGCATTCCCTTGCATACTTAAATGATTACAAGATGACCCATAACCCAGAGCTGTACAATCTGAAAGGGTGCACGCATAGTCAATACTCTTTGGCAACTCATCAAGCTCGTCGTCTACATGTGGATTCAATACACACCATCGTCTCGTCATGTAGTTTACCCCTTCCACTGGAACAAGAAACTTCCCTTGCTGCAAACCAGCCAAGTCTAATTCATATTTTGGCTTCCCGTCATAATCAAAGATCCCCCAATGCCTTTCAAAGCTCCCTGGTGCTACACTTTTTGCGATCTCATCAATGAGACTGAAGATATAGACATCAATGGTGCCTTTTCTTGCTGGGGTGCCAACTCCACTTAGAACATGTCTAAGTAATCCTTGGTTGAATCTTTGTGCATTTTGGATATTAGCATGTTTGTCACCATCAGTTGGCCATCCAACTTCTCCGACTACGATCTTCATGTCAGGGTATCCAGCCTTGTCTAGGGCCCAAACAAGAGTGTCAAGATTTGCATCAAACACATTGGTGTAGAGCAAATCACCATCTCTAACAGGCTTGCTTGTGCCATCGAAGAAGGCAAAATTGATGGGGAAATTATCATTGCTGTAAAGACTAAGGAATGGATAGATGTTTACGGTAAAAGGTGCATCATTAGAGTATAGGTATTGGATTATTTGGATTGAGAGTTCTCTGATTTCTGGGCGGAAATCTCCAGCAGAAGGGACTGGGTTTGAGGCTGGGGAGTTGTAGATGTCTGCATTGAAGGGAACTGTGGCCTTGACCTTGGAACCAAGGCCTGCATCAATAAGGGCTTGCTGAATGTTTTTGAGAGCAGGTAGTGTGAGGTGGATGAAACTGCCATTATAGGCTTGGAGGAAAGGTTCATTTCCTACAGCAACATACCTGCAAAATCAGTATTGAAAGTAACTGAATTGACAAGGAGAGAAGACACGATGACGAGAACAAGTTAACGATATAACTTTTGGAATCTGAGCAACAGAGTTATCTACCAATTAAGCAGAGCAAACAAGTAGTGAAAGGATAGATGTTTCTTCCTAGCTTATTCAAAGATTAAAGCTTAATTAAAAGCAGTTGCACGAAGTGCTTTAACTTGACAAAAAGGTGTCTTTTAATGATTAGGAAAAAGAATTAGCAGGGGATAACTAAACATATCATAATAACATCTACTTACAATACTACTTTCATGCAGTCCCTAAACCACAATTTTTATATTCCTTCAATTGTTTTACTAATATTTACCTATTTCATTTCCTTTCCTCTCCTCTCTATTCCTTATTTACACAAACACATTGTGAGATTCAAGTGCCCGGGCTCAAGGGCACACCAGGATTGATATTTTTGATAGTTGATATATTTTTTTAAAGAAAAGTTTTTTAAAAAACCATGACTTATTATTATTATTATTTTTTTTTTTGTCTTTTATTCACCAAATAAAGAACAATGTAACATTGCTTTTTATACTGTTATATTATTACATTGTAGCTTTTGTCAAGTGCTGGCTACAATGTAAAGAAATATTATCTAATAATATAAAGTTAATACTAAGAATGACTTAAATTGAATGAGGAAACTAAGTGTAATCATTAATGAGAAAACGTATCTAACTAAAGATGCAGAAAATAATATTCACATTTCTGAAATCAAATCTCAACAGTTAATAATACTCATCTGATCGTCACTTTGATTTAAAATCAAGTCAAATCACCATAACTTTTTTTCTGAACAAAGAAAAATGCAATAAAATCCATGACAGGGAAAATCACACTCAAATTCATGACAGAAATTAGGAAAGAACAAATTAACTCAATCAACATGGACAAAAATTTTGCCAGAAAGCAAACAGAATATCAGCAGAAAACACATTAAGAGATTACCCAACTTGATATTAACACCTCCGGGATAACAGTAACTGGTGACATTAGCATCCACCCAAGAAATAGCAGCTCGTGGATCATGACTGAACTGCTTCAACATTAAATTCGGTATCGCCACCATCACCTCAATACTAGTCCCAATAAGAGCCTCCATGATCCTCTCGTCCGCTTCGAAAAGTTTTAACTTACCAATCCCGTTCTCTACCAGCATATTGACCACCTTATCTGGTGGCAGCTGGTGCGATGCCATGGTGCCCCAGTTCACTCCGACACTACTTCCTTGCGAGAGTGCAGCCATGGATGCAAGACACAGAATCATTTTACAGAACTCTAGTACTCCATTTCCCGTTATCATTTGGTTTCGTTTCTGTTTCTAATTTAATGGATACTTAAACGGATGGACTCCTTTGAGTATGATCTTTCTGGAGATTGAGAAAGAATTGAGAGTGGCGATGGAAAAAAACAACGATAACAATCAGAATGACGATAGATAGAAAGAGGGAATATTTTCGGTTGCTTGTTTCAATATTTATGAAGTGAGTGTGAAGACTGAGAGTGAAGCTTTTGAATGTTGGCAGTTGGGATTCTTCTTCACGTAGAAGGTGTGAATATTTTCTCTTCTATTTTTCCTTTTTTTAATAAAATATTTTTTTTTTGCCTCTTTTAAAAAATTAATTCGGATGACTGGTTGTACAATATTATATTTTTGTACGATATTGCAATATATTGTCCTTCCTCTATATATATATATATATACATGTCCTCCCCTTCTCTATATGGTTTTTATGCATATATAATATGCATGCATGTATGTTCATATATATGTAATGAAATAGAGTCTAAATTTTAATAAAATATGAAATCTTAAATTTTTATAGTAAAAAACTTATGTATATAAAAATGTTATATGTAATGAAATACAGTCTCAATTTTAATAAAATATTGAAAAGAAAATAATAGAAAAACTTATTTGTAAAAATTGTATGTTAGACGTGTGCAAGTATAAAACAAAAATAAAAAAGATATTTGTGGAAAAATATTAAAGAAACACCAAAAAAATAAGAATTTATTTTTATATTCAACCTAAATATTTATACATTCTGACATAATTTTTCCTCATAAATACAAAAATAATAGAATAGTTATATAATAAATGAATAAAAATATATCTATAATTTACATAATCAGTTAAAAGGAAAAACAAATAAAGTAAAATAAGCTTAGAAAAATATAAAAAGGTAATGTAGAATAATTAGTATTATAAATTAAAATTTTGTATTTATAAGTATAATTTTATATAATACTATAAATTTTGTATGTAGAGTATATATAAATATATGAATATAAATAATGTGAACCCCACCCACACCCAGCCCATATTTTTTGACAAATTTTTTTCGCCCCTAACTGGCAACCAACTAGCAAATTGGGAATATAAAATGTAAAAGCTCAAAATTTAATTGAAATAGAAACATTAAATTAATGAAATAATAGCGAAAATAATTAAGAGTTTAAAAAATTTATATTACTTACATAGTAAATTAGAATGTTTAATAGAATTATAAGAATGTCTATTTAAAAAAATTTAAATAATAGAAATAGAAATATAATTAAAATCTTATAGGGTCAATCTACGCTGGACAACTCTGATGGAATGCGGGAGACAAGTCGCTAACTTTCCTGTTGTTCAGGATCCGGATCTTAGTTTTCATGATCTAAAATAGTTAAATAAAGGGATGAGTTACATTAATTCAGTAAAAATGTCAATATTTAACACCGATACAGAAAACCAAATATTGGAAAAAAAATCATAAAACAACTAATAAAACTATTTTTCTTTTTAAGTAAATTCATTTAATTAAAAAAATATAAATTTCATATTCACATTTTAAGTTCTCAAATTCGATTTGTTAAGACAGTAATCAAGATAATAATTCACAATTATATTCTAAGAAATAATAATAGTCAATTTTATCTTTTAACCTACCTACCGGTACCTCTAGCGGTCTATAGAGGTTTTCCCTACACGTGAACCTAACATCCAATTTATTAATTAACTGTTGTTCTCATACCCGGTCTGGTAATGGACGCTAAACATACCACCGCCTCAATACCCCGTCCGGTATGACGGTAAACAATACTTCCACACCCCTTCCAAAATGAGACTTCTTAGTCCCGTTCGAGTGAGGTAATGTCCACGGTAGGGTTTACCCTATGTATAGGATCCGTACACCATTTCCCATGATACCTGGTAAACCATTTATACATATGTTCACATTATCAAACAGCCACTATTTACACACAAATATCTTATTTCATATTTACAGATCAATAGAACAATGTTTTAACAGACAATAAATGTAACACCCATAAAATAATAATAATAATAAAATAAAATAAATAAAAATTTGTGTATAATTAAATAATTAATAAATATAATTTTTTATTAATTTATTTTATTTTGTTATATTTTATTTTATTTTATTTGGGATAAAAATGAAGTAAAAATTAAATGAGGATGAAATTGGAAACAATTTTGGAGAAAATGGGTAAAAATTTAGGTTTTGAAGGTATTTTTAAAAGAAAATTCGAAAACCATGGGTCAAAGTGTAATTTGGAGAAATTCTGCCATGCGAGACGTCCGGTCAGTTGTCCCGATGAACTAGGACACTCCACGTGGCAACAGGAGCTGACGCGATACCACGCGGGAAGCCATGCGGGTCCTGTTAAAGAGGAATCGAATTATGCTAGAGAGGGACCGAGTGGCCCTGTGGCGTTACTTGGTTGTATGGTGGGGGCATTAGATCATACTGTAGCAGTGTCGAATGATACGGTGGAGGAACAGGGTTGTACCAATATGGCATTAAGTCTTCTCGTTATAGGGATGGCTCATAATATGGCAGTAATAGAGGGTCAGAAAGCTCTCTCATCTCTTCCTTACCCTGCTAGGTAAAGATAAGTCTCTTTAGCATCTCGAAGAGCCAATTGACATCCTCCCAAAGAGACCCATCCCAGACTGCTCTATTTAGTGGGGGTCTTCATCTCCTCATATATTTGTACTTGCATTTTACAACGAAAGGTTGAGTGTCGGATTGTATTGAATGATTCTAACATTTGTGTAAAGAATGATTCCGAGTAACGCGACTCTGATATCAACTGTAAAGCTCAAAATTTAATTAAAATGGAAACGATGAATTAATGAAATTATAGCAGACGTAATTGAGAGCTTAGGGTTTACATTCCTTACACAGTAAATTAAAATGCCCAATAGAGATACAAGAATGTCCGTTTAAGAAAATTTAAATAACAAAAATAGAAATGTAACTAAAATCCTATAGGGTCAACCTCTATTGGGCAACTCTGATGGGATGCAGGAGACAACCTTTAGTCGCTAACTTTCCTACTGTTCAGGATCTACATCTTGGTCTTTCTGATCTGAAATGGTTAAATAAGAAAAATGAGTTACACTAACCTAGTAGGAATGTCAATACTTAACACCAATACAAAAAAAAT